CCAAAAGCACTAAAAACCAGTCAGTTGGTGTTTTTATTTAAAAATAATGTATTAAATTGGAGATAATTGAAATCTTTCAGTGTTAAAATTTCCAGATCCAGGAATATATCATGTCATTCTCTTTAAAGTCTTTTATGTCCATCAGTAAAGTCTTATAGTTAGTTATCTTCATATGGATCATGTACATTTCTTAAGTTTATTACTAGATTTGGGGGTGGTGATGTTATTGTGAGTGGGTTTTTTAAATTAAACCCCCCTGACTGTCTTTCTGATAGTTTCTTATTTTTTATTATTAATTATTATGGTTTTTAAAAAATATTTTTATAACCTTACAGTAGAGGACGTTCTGTGTCTAACACCAATGGAAACTTATTAAATGGGAAAATAAAATCTATGTATTCCACAAATTAGAACAACTATTTGAATTATTAGGTTGTCTTCCTAGTTATTTAAAATTGTAGTGTTATGGTTATTTATATGCACATTTTTGCCAGAATATTGTAAATTCTTCTTGAAATTAAAGTTTATCTTTTAGAAGTCTCTTTTCTTACCTTGCCAACTTGTAGCATTATTGAGCATTTTGCCAATTAAAGGTATATAATGGATGCATTTTGAATGGCTCTGCAGTTAACTCTGAGGAGTTAATACTGTACAGTCAGTAATAATAATAGAGTAATAGTCACCATTATTGGGTGCCAGGCATTCGTTGATGATGATAGTGCTTTGTATGCTCACCAATCCAAAGAATCAAGTACTATTGTTCTGCTATTTTTCAGATGAGAAAATTGAGGTACAGAGAGGTTAATTGACGTATTTATGGTCAGGCTTCTAGTAAGTAGCACAGTAAAATAATGAACCCAGATATGTCCAGTCCTGTGCTTTTAACATCATCATATCCTGCCTTCTTTTTCTTCCAGTCTTCTTCTAGCATATGGATAAGATCTACATATACCGAGGCAGTGGCACTTTTATTTGGAGTAAAGAATCTTGGTTGGGGAGTATCTTGGGAGAGAGCAAGTCTGGGCCTTCTGTATTAGTCCAGTGGTGTTGAGCGTAGAGGAGCTTGGAACAGTGAAGGATGGAAGTGAGTTTTGCTAAGACCCTGATAGCACTTCAGACATAACATTGAATACTTCCTGATTGCTTTATGTTGCCAGTACTGAAATACAATATTTGCTTCGAATCTCTCTTGTTATTTCTTAAATATCAATTAAGGACTACTGTATTTCAAGCACTCTACCTCTGCTGAAGCATTTATCACATTGTTTTCAATGATAGACTTGTGTGACTATTTATTTGTATTACCGTTCTCTCATAATAGAATGGAAGCTTACATAGCTTTGTTTGTTTTCATATCCTTAACATCTGGTGTATGTGATACGGAGGAGGCTTTCCTTTTCCTTATCTTAAACCCAGGTCGTTGATAGGTAATTGATTATAGAGGTGATCTTGATAAGTTGTTATGGCTTGGTAGTCAGTATTTTGCCCTGAAATACTGGGCAAAATGTATGTAGTCTCCTATTTGTATTCAAATGTTTAGCCTAAGTTAGTTTTTTCACATCTCAGGTAAATTAGACTTAAAATTCACTTTCTTTATAGAAAGGGTTGTGATTAACTTTTATAATGACATTTTGATTTTAAAGTTTTTATTTGAAAAAGCAAATACTTCTTTTCCTTTTTGGAAACCAACTTTCCTGGTAAAACATTAAAGCTTTTTTAAAAAAAGTACCACCGTTATATAATTTCTAGAAGATAAGTTATGAATACTACCTGGCAGGGGTGTTAATAGGCCTTTTGATTCTGAAAGCACTTTCCTCTTGACCTTGATGCAGTTTAGTATTAAATTCAAATGATGGGTGAGGATGTGGAGAAATCAGAACCCTCTTACTCTGTTGGTAGGAATGTAAAATGGTGCAGCCACTTTGGAAAATAGTCTGGCAGTTACTCAACAAAGAGTTACCCTGTGAGCCAGCAATTCCACTCCTAAGTATATGCCCAAGAGAAGCGAAAACATATGTTCACACAAAAATTTGTACACAAATGTTCATAGCGGCATTATGTACAACAGCCAAAAAGCGGAAACAGTTCAAATATTCATTAGCTGATGAATGGATAAATAAAATATGGTGTATCCATATACTAGAATATTATTTGGCAAGAAAAGGAATGAAGTACTGATGCATACTACAATATGGGTGAACCTTGAAGATGTTATGCTAAGTGAAAGAAGCCAATCACAAAAAGACAACATGTATGATCCCATTTATATGAAATGTCCAGATTAGGCACATCGATAGAGATAAAATGTAGATTAGTGGTTGCCTAGAGCTGGGGGTGAAGAGGGAAGTGGTTAGGAGGATGACTGCTTAATGGAATGGGGTTTCTTTTTGGGGTGACAAAAATATGTTAAAATTAATTTTGATAATTACTGTTGTGCAACTCTGTGAATATGTTAAAATCATTGAGTTGTACAGTTTGAATGAGTGAATTATATGGTATGTGAATTACAGCTCAGTAAAACTATTACAAAAAAATTCAGATGGCTTTCAGGCATTATCAACAGTCCTTTGTGTTATTTCTTTATTCTGCTAAAGAGAAGAGTTCTAGTTGCACAAGAAACACAGTTCCATTTTATTAATTTATTAGCATGCTGTACTGTTTTTGGCTACACATATTCACTAGAGACTATCGTATTTCTGTTAGTTTCTAGTGCCAAACTGAAGAGAAAAAAGAACTGGTTTGGAACAGCAATATATACGGAAGTAGTTGTAGATGGAGAAATTAAGAAAACAGCAAAATCCAGTAGTTCTTCTAATCCAAAGTGGGATGAACAGCTAACTGTGTAAGTATCTTGTATAAAGAATGCAGATTTTCAAAAGGGAATGTGCTTCTTGGAATATGAATATTTTATATTTATTTTGTAAAATGACTTCAAAGTAATGAGTGCTTTTTACAATGTGAGAGACAATTTAAAGTATGAAGAAATTTTTGGTTTATTTCACTTCGTTGTAGAGAGAAAGCCTAATCTTTGCTTTTGCTGTATAAATTATTTCCATATTTTCTCTGAATGTTTTGTTATAGAAATAGATAGGACAGAAAATTAGTCATCCTTAATTTTGGTGTTTTGAAATGTAATGGTATAAATTTGTTATAGTAAAAGTATTATAACTAATACTGTCAGTTTTCTTAAGCCTTTAGAAATTTGTTCAAATAGAAACAGTGTTACTGTGAAGTCCAAAAAAGTCTCTTGTCATGTTGCTGGTATTTGGTTTGCTAATTACAAAAATTCTTATACAGTTATTAAAGCCCTAATATATTTGAAAATAAATACTATATTTATTTATAATTCAGATCGTTTACTGTTTTATACAGTATTCTCAAACCGAATTCCTGGTTTTTAAAAAGTTACCAAAATAAATGGTTTAATAGGAATTGTCACTTAGCATGATGATGTATACTCCTGTATTTTTGTTACAATTTTACCCTTACAGAAATGTGACCCCACAGACTACATTGGAATTTCGAGTTTGGAGTCATCACACTTTAAAAGCAGATGCTTTATTAGGAAGAGCAACGATAGATTTGAAACAAGCTCTTTTAATACACAATAGGAAATGTAAGTTTTTATTCTAACCTTTGTTTCTTTGTAAGTTTATTTTAGCCACTTTAAACATGTCCTGAAGTCTGAAAGTAAAAAAAATAGTGTCGTATTTATAAAGGAGAACTTCAGTTATTGCCTGTGATTGCTTTCAAGTTTGTGGTGTTACATGAAGTAGGAAATATTTACCCTGATCTTTCTCTATTCTGCAGGTTTACAAAATGATCTCAGTCATCCATAAGTACCCAATTATCAGTGATCATCAGTTACTTATTACTTACTTATTATTAAATACTTTTAAACTTGCAAAAAATGATCATTATCTGAGCCTACTCTGTTTTGTTACTTGACTAATAACAATTTTATTTGGATAAAATAAATTCTAACTCTTAAATTTTCCTTTTTTATTATATAACTGATTTATTATAGAAAATATGGAGAATATAGAAAATCACAGAGTAATATAAAAGTTATCTTTAAGTCAACTATCCAGTTAGAACTACTCTTAAAATATGATCTCTGTCTTTTTCTTGTTCGTAGACACAAACACATATATTTTTTCTTTTCTGCAGTTACTGGTTTATCTTCTGTTTTCTTTGCATGTAACATTAAACATCATGTTTCCATGACAGTAAATTCTGCTAGACTGAAGATTTTTAAGGTAGTTTAAAATTTAATTATTTGTAAACCTCCTGTCATTATATCCAAAAATTTGACGGTATATACACATTTGTAATTCTGGGGAGAGGGTTCATAGCTTTTATCAAATTCTTAAAATATGTGATCCATTGAGTATGAAAAACCAGAGTTCTAGTTTATGATTTTTAGGAGCCACATAATGTTTTTTTTTTATACCGTAATTTATTTAACCTCCTATCGACTGGCATTTAGGTGGTTTCTAATATTTCATTCAAACTATGCCCTTGTTCAAATCTCTAAATCTTTGTGCTTATCTTCTTATTTCTTTAGAGATTTATTCTCATTAATTCCTAAAAGTAGAGTTGCTGGGTTAAAGATTAAAGTGCTAATGTTTAAAATAACAAGTTGATTTTTTCTGTATTCAATTATAATTTTTTAAAAAATATTCTATTAAAGCATTGTAAGTTTGATTTTCTGCTATCTTATGGTTTTTTGGGGAGGGGGATGTTTCTTGCAATTCATTTTGATACAGACATAAGTAATATGTTTTGTAAGTAAGTTTATAGTACTTTGCCTGGATCATTATTATTATTTAACCATGCTCCCATTGTTGGACATTTAGATTATTTACAATTCTGTTATGTTAGACTGTACTGAACCTCCATGTAAAGATTATAATTATTCTCCATCCTAAGATTATGTTTATCTGCCAAAATGATCTGAGAAAGTTGTAATGTCAATACATTTTGAAGTGAAACCCTAAGTTATGTAAACTTTAAGTTATCTCTTAAGATTTAATTGAGCAGAATATGCTCAGAGGAAAAATAAAATTTTATAAACAGTGAGTAGGGGGCTTCAGAAATTGTAGCAGTTGCACATCATAGGCAGTCAGTAATTTTTTTTAGTAATTGAAAGGTATATTAGTTTGCTAGAATTGCCATAACAAATACCATGGCCTGCGTGTCTTCAATAACAGAAATTTATTTTCTCATGTTTCTGGAGGCTAGAAGTCTGTGATCAAAGTATTGGCAGGTTGGTTTCTTCTGAGGCCTCTCACCTTGGCTTGTAGATGGACATCTTTTCCCTGTATCTTCACACAGTCTTCCCTCTGTGCATGTGTCAGTGTCCACATTTCCTCTTTTTAAAAAAAATTTTGGCCGGTCGCGGTGGCTCACGCCTGTAATCCTAGCTCTCTGGGAGGCTTAGGTGGGCGGATTGTTTGAGCTCAGGAGTTCGAAACCAGCCTGAGCAAGAGCGAGACCCCGTCTCTACTAAAAATAGAAAGAAATTAATTGGACAACTAAAAATATATAGAAAAAATTAGCTGGGCATGGTGGCGCATGCCTGTAGTCCCAGCTACTTGGGAGGCTGAGGCAGTAGGATCGCTTGAGCCCAGGAGTTTGAGGTTGCTGTGAGCTAGGATGACTCCACGGCACTCTAGCCAGGGCAACACAGTGAGACTCTGTCTCAAAAAAAAAAAAAAAAATTCTTTTAAGAGACTGTGTCTTGCTTTGTCACCCAGGCTCGAGTACAGTGGCCCAATCATAGCTCACTGGAACCTGAAACTCCGGGGCTCAATCCTCCTGCTTCAGCCCAAATTACTATTTACAAGAACACTACGAGGAAGCACATCTGACCTTCCTTCTCATGGTCAGCAACTCAGCTTTAGGGTATTTCCGAGGTCTCCTTGGCCAACGGGGTCCATTCAGTCAGCTGGGGGGGCTTAAGATTTTATTTTAGTTCACAGTTCCCCTCTTTTGGCCAAGATCTGCCAGAGGCAGCATCGATGGCCACACTTATATTTTTTCCCATCATTGCCAGGGTGGTATAGCTACCTGCCCTGTGTCCATACGGGTCCACTGTGGGACCTTTGTGTCCAGGGAGATTTAATAGCCAAAAAGGCTTACATCCAGTTAAATGTTCTAGTCCAGATGGGACTGGGGGTGGATAGGCAACCATCAACATTTTAAAACCTTCTGGGTAACGTAAAAGTAAAAATCAAAATGTCAAAGGCAATGTTACAAAATTAATTGATTTATAAGAGGTGAGCTACTATATTCTTGGGTTTAGTTGCAGACTTGTAGCAATTTGTTATATAAAACATAAGCGTTGTTAACCATTTTAGCTAAGGAATTTAGAGACTTTTGTTATGTCACAATATTTTTGGTCTCTTTAGTAATTTGTCCTAAGGTGGCTGATAAATTTTTTTTATATCTCTATTTGCTTAAACCCTATAACTGAGAACAGTTATACTCAGGAAACTCTAAGTCTGTGGGAAGCAGGAAATTCTTTACAGTTGGGATGGATGTTTGGACCACGTGGCCCAAAAAGGCAATGTATCTCATTTAGTATTTGTTTAGACATCTTTGTGCCCCTATCCTTGATCTGGAGAGTCTTCCATCTCTTGAAATCTGCCCTTAAAATCTCACATGCCTACCTCTTCATGATAGTCCCTGGGCCTACAAGGGAGGATGTTTATAGTTTTGGTAGCAGGAAGTTGGTAGTGAATAACAGATTGAGCCTGCTGGGATTCAATAGTTTTAAATCCTGGAGATACCAGGTAAACTTTGCTGTTCCTTAATACTTGGCTTGACTCTGGAAAACAAAGCAAAAAGAATCAGAAATGTTTTAAATAAAAAGTCATTGAAAAAAAAAGAACACCAGTCATTTGGATTAGGGCCCACCTTAATTTTAACTCAGTTACCTCTTTCAAGATCCTGTCTCTAAATATAGTGTCACATTTTGAAGTACTGGGGCTTAAGACTTCAACGTATGAATTTGGTGGGGGGAACAATTCAGTCCATAACAAAAGGTAAATACATTTCAAGAATTAAATCTTACGGTAGAATCATAATGCTTTAAAGGTAGAAGCAACAACCTGTGAGTATTAGTCCCAGCTACTCATTTTATTGATAAAATAACTTAATCTAAGTGACTTGCTCAGAAATATACAAGTAATTGCAGGGTTGTGATTAGAACACAAATTTTCTCTTAGCTGCTTAATTTTGATTAGATGTAATACAAAATTACTGTGGTTCTTGACAGCCTTGAAGCAATTAAAAATACATTTATAAATGATGATAAAATTCTTGGTTGCCTTTGATTCAGCCTCTTGGTTTAACACTTGGACTCTGAGTTTTAGTTAGGCATCAGTTGAATGAACTATAGTTAAATTTTGGAGGTGTTGTGGTATTTACCTTTAAAAAGAAGTAAACACTGCTAAGAACAAAATCAGTAACCCAAGAAAAACATGACAACCTAGTGATGAATAAAGATAGTCGGTGCTAAAAACATTCTTTGTTCCTATCCTTAAATCAAGATTAACTCACTGGTTTAGGGGGGGAAGGTTATTGATAGAGGTATTGTGTTCCTAAGGTATCCTGTATCCAGAAAATGATAATCAGCATCTTACATGAATAGAATCTGTATATTTGTATAGAAGGTTCCAGTGAAGGGATGTTCTGGGGTATGTGTGTTTCTCACTTGTTTATAGAGAATAGATTTTTAAGGGATGAAGTGAAAGAGGAATCTCTTGGGAGGAAAGAAAAACCGAGGTTTTAGGTCTTGTGACAAGAAAAGAAGAGACAGTGAAAGCCCATCTAGCTTTTAAGGAAGAACCCTGGATCTAGCATGCCTGAAAAGTCCCAGTATGGTTTCTGGTAAGACACTTAAAAGAAAGTTTATGGTGTGAATGGTAGACAGGATAAAGTCCTTGAAAACAGTTGCAATATGGAGGTGGTTGGAACCAGGAGAAATATTTGTGGGGGCCATGATATTTGAGGGTGATTTTAAAGGATGAAAGGACATGGTTTGGTGATAGTGGGAAAATTATTGTAGGAATTTGAGGTGGCATTTATAAAAATTATAAACCATAAACAGCATTGAATTAATGAGCAACTTGAAAGCAGAAACTGTTTTATTCATCTGTGTTATTTCAGCGCCTCCCACAGTCAACAGCCAAAGACTTAAAAAAATTGTAATAGAAAAACTTGTGTATTTGAATAACATCTTACTATGGAATCTTATTCTATATAAAATTTTACCATATGTAAAACATGTAACGGTATTGACCCATAAAAGCGTGCACGTGCACACACTAACATGTCCTTAACTCTTTTTACTCCCAACAGTTCCTGAATTAACTTCTGTGGAACTCTGTTCCTCAAACCAGTTTGAAAGTTACTTGGCTATAAGATCAAGTTTAACTCCTGATGTTAATACGTTACAGAGTCTTAGTTCAGTTTGTCTAATTTCCTACTTACAATTCTTAGTACCCTGCCTTCTCTGTCCAACTAATCTTCTTGTATCTTCTGCGTATGCTTTGCTAGTTCTCCTTTACTGAAAGCAGTCTCTTTGTCACTGATCACTTCCTTGGTATT